ATTAATGCAGCATTGCTTGAAACACAAATGAGCATTGAAGAATTACAAGAAAAAGCAAAAGTATGTTCACAGAATATTTCATTGATATTTGATACAGGATGAGGAAAAAATTATATCGTATTTCATAAAAATATTTATGAATTTTCGCTTCAATCAACTAAATCTAGTAGAAAATTACATACAGGATAAACAACAGATTTCATAGATCTTAGTAATTATCTTTTTATTAGATTCACTACTTTCTACATTGAGTACTTCTTTATCCTAATTAATATAATAGAAGAACGATACTGTGTTGACACTTTCAAGAATACACATATATCGAAAGACATTCTTCTTTAAATTTTGATTGTTTAAGGGGAGAAAAGTTTAATGTATCGAAAAATGGCGCTCGAATTATGAAGGTACTCTTTTGTATAATATTTAAAAAGTTTAATTAAAAAAATGAACTCTGTTATGCCGTACATTTCGACACGTGTTCTTTCGATCAAAAAAAGAAAAACTATTGGCAACAATTAAGCGTCTTCGAGAATTCTCGGATGCACGATCAAAAACACATGAACAAAAAATAAAGCGCAAAAAAAAAATTTTCGCTGTATTTAAAAAACTTCTTTTTAAGCAGAAAATGACGAATATTTCAGGAAAGTATTAAATGCGAAACAAAAACGTATGTTATTTTATGAAAGATCAGATCGCGGGCTATCTTCAGATGCATTTATCTTAGTTCTCATACTTTTGACGAAAATTTACATTTTTTGTAGAGAGGATCTGAATTACTCAAGTGCTTTTAACAAAACAATACTTTAATTTCTCTATTCATAACTTTATTTTTAAATTCTTAACTTAGAATAGATTAAAACTTAGTTTTTACAATATGATTTATATTTGCTAAAGAATTATTGGTTAATCATATGTAGGTAATAGAACCAGACAATGATGAAATCGATGCGAGTGGAACTCATCGAACACGAGCAACAAAATCCAAGAAAACGACACCTAATGAAGCTTGTTTACAAAAAGTTCTCGAATCACCTGAATGTTTAGATGAAGCAGCAATAACAATTAACTTTATGGCTCGAAGATTATTATGTGATATGTTTGATATTCCAGTTTTTAAAGATTTAATTAAAAATAAAATCGAAATGAAATTAAAAGAAATTGCTGTAAGTACTAACAAAACAAAAAAAAATAGAAATGTCTTTTGATTTTATTAATTTATATATCAGGTATCTATTCTTGAAAATCTTCGTGTTGTATCAATCGATTTAGGAAATACGTTTCCTCTTATATTAAAAGTTGAACCAATGCAATGGAATACACAAGGACTATGGTTTAATTTATTTCTTTATTATCGTGGAAGTATTAAGTAAAGAATTTTATTGATCAAAAATTTTTTTTTCATTTAAATAAATATTTAATTTAGATTAACAATAAAAACACGTGTTTTACTTCAAAAATTAATTAACTATAATCCAAAAAAAGATAAACCAATATTTGCTCAACATCATACAGCCCAACTTGTACATGAAGATGAAGAACGTATTGATGAAGATGATTTAGTTCAAAGACAAAAACTTTTAGCTAAAGAACCTGAAATACCTGAAATGTAAGTAGATCTCATTCATATTTCAAACGAAACAAAGTAAATGTTTTTTCTTTTCCAGGGCAGTCACACGAAAACTTGGTCTTGCATTAACTAATTTAGCATTGAATAAATATTTTCAAATGTTTGCTAATATTCCATACGTTAAGAAATTATTCGAAAAATTTTCTGAAGACGACGTTGGTGCGGATATTGAAATAACTAGTTTCAGCGGTGTTCTTACAGTAAGTTTATTCATTTAAATATCACTCAATAGGATATAGAATTATTAAATTGAATTTATAATGAAACTTTTTTATAATGTAAATTAAGAAGATTGATTAATGAAAAACCATCCTCTACATTCACCAAGTTTCAAAATATCAAATTTTGAAGATAGAAGTTTTCCGAGAACCTAAGACCTCTAGAAAATAGGCATATTAGAAATTCGATAGCTTGATCAACTGTCCATAGCAATCCAAATCTTCCTATGATTTTTATTAGAACCCTATGCAGTATCTGTAGGTAAAAGACTCATTGAGATTGGAAGAAAACAGCTGAAGATGTTCCCTCGTAAGTTCGGTCAACGTTATCATTTCCATTGCCAAACTAATGCATTCAAAATATGCTTTGTTCATGATCAATCTTCATTGAGATATCTGATCTCTAATATATTCAGCTACAATATTAGAAATATAATAATGTGAAAGCTATATGGTTTCATCTTTTATTTAATCGTTCGGGTTATCAAACAATGAGTTTTCAGTTGCATGGTGAAATTTATTAACTACATTAGGATTGTAATAGATTCAATTTCTTCTCAAAGTTTATTTATATTGAATTGGAAAAGAGTCGGTTGTCATCATTTATCAAGACATGAAAATTAGTAGGTCCTAATTTATTCGATAAATTTCACCATGATTCTGAACACTGACTGCCTGGAAAATCAGATCTTTCTATACCAAAATATATGTAAATAGCTTAAAAAAACAAATATCTCAATCAAGATTCACTATGGGCAAACTATATTTTATATACGTTATTTGTCAACGACAATAATAGTTAGGGCTGCTGAATATGGTCAAACTTCCTAACTTACAGTACATAGAATCTCATTGTTAGATACAAAACACACAACTTTATTACTTTTGAGCTGAGTGAATTGAATGAAAGGAGATTCTATTTTAGTTAAGCCATATAATTTTTTCCGTTAGATTGCATTAAATATATTCTTCTTAAACATAGATCTCATTGATTTATATGTATTACTGAACATAAAGTCTTCATTTCAATTGATTACACGTTTGTTATTGATATTTTCATTTTTAGCTCAACATTCCTCCACCACCAAGTGATCGAATTTGGTAAAAATAGATATTATACTCATTTTTACATACAGTCATTCAATAATATGTTCTTTTTTTTTCGTATAGGGTGGGTTTTCCCGAACTGCCTGGCCTTAATATAAAAGTGACACCAACTTATGGAGAAAAACATTATTGTTACACGTTACTTGAAGATTTTTTGGCAGCTAAAATAAAAGCTGAATTAAAAGTTTGGAATCTGTTTCTAGAATTTTTTTAATATTATTCCTTTTTGTTCAATTTTTAGAGAGTTGTTGTCTTGCCGGCTATGGATGACCAACTTCTTCCATTCTTCCGAGATTGGGTTATTGATATTATGTAAGTTTCAAATTATAAAACTTAAATATTTTTTCGTTAAAAATTACATACACCAAAATAACTTATAAGTTTGGGTTCTATTGCTTTCATTCATACTTTGTATCAGTAGAATTTTCCAAAAACAAAAACTAGAAATAAGCAAAAAAATGAACATGTCTATATTAATTTTTTTAGCGGTGAAATTGTTTCGAAACCTATAAATCCACTAACAGACAATTATAAAGCTAAATTAAATGCTCAAACTGCTGTTCGTACTGGATTACAAGAATATAGTAATAACAAAGAATATAAACAACAAATGTTTACAACATCAATGCAGTCGCCTTCATCCGAAACAACTCATTTATAAACTCTTGTGTTCATTTTTCCATAACTGTAGTCTTTTATTTTATCACAAACAAGCAGTTTTTTTTGTGTGTATATTATTGAGTCATTATTAACCTTGCAAAAAAATTTTAGAATATGCGAATCAAAAAATAAATAAATATTTAAAATCAGAAACTCGATTTTCCACAAAATTGATACATAATTTGGTTCTTGTATCATATGTCTCTTGACTTTTTGCTGCAATTAATTCTTCAATAATAACCAATTTTTATATGCTGAAGTTACTCATGAATAAATATCTTTACAGAAACAACATACTATCTGTATGTAATTTGTTTTTTGCAAAAATACATGAAATCATCAATAATATTAAATACAAATTAAAATCTAAGAATTTTAGTTATTCTCAAAACTCGATTTGAATTGAAAATTTTTATTCTTAGTAACTTTTTGATTGTTTTCATTATCGACCATTTCAGGAAACCAAATTTAATTCCTGTCTGTACATCGAAAACCTAACAATAGACTACAGCCTGAGCAAATTACCTTAAAAAAATTAAAAAGAAACATTGTCAATTAGGTATATTTCAAAAACATAAAGTATAACAATAAGTTTTCATTCAACTTAATAGAACCCAGACTGATGTTTTTTTAAATATTCAGACAAAATGTCATTGGGTACGATTTTCGATTGCTATCATCTAGTCTTTGATACGAAAAACACTCATTTATAATTGGTTTATGATGCTGTACAGAGCGAATATATTCAAACAATGAAAGTTCGACTATCGTTTTTCAACATTGTTTATACTTGGTTTACAAAAGTTAATCATCCATCAAGACAAAGAAAAAGAAGACAACATGACGTCAAGTTTTTCTTTTCTGTTTTCTTTTTCGCTTTGTCGTTATTCGATACATGTGCAATCATTAAAGCATTTGTTAACAGCAAAATATGCTACTTGTATTTCGTATCTACTTAAACCGTTTGCATTGCCACTGCAACAAGACTCGATTGATAGAATGTTTTTCTTTTAGAGGAGGAGCACACGTGTAAATTTTGTCAAAATATGTTTCTCCTTTCTATAATGCAATATGAGAAGAAAAACAAAATATAGAGATGGCTGAGTGTGTCACATAACCGATGTATGGACATACTTAAGTGCCTCACGTGAGACCCATATGTTACTTATTATGAAATACAAAAGTCATTGAGTACGAGCATATCTTTTTTTTTTATTCCTTATAATATGTATATATAAAATTGTGCTTACCATTGCGTACAAACGAATGCATATTGTTATTTTGGGGATGCAATTTTGATATTATAATAAATTCAGAAAGACTTTACTTATTTGATAATGATCATTGTATTTAAAAATATTCCTATATGTTTAGATCATTGTTTCAATATGTCTGATTATATTAATAGCAGTAGTACTCGAGAACGTACTCATGCAGCAAAAGAAGCAGATCGACAAGCTGCCGAATCATCGAAATATGTACCAAAAGTTACAATTGAAAACCCGAATCGAAGTGTACCAGCAGAAATAAAAAATAGAGACCACAGTATCAACAATACTGATCGTTCAGTTAAAGTTCCTATATTTTATTCAACAATATCTGTAGCATCTGCATTTATTACTGTAACAGTAATTTTTTGTGTATGTAGTATTTCATTTTTCTTTTTTTTTATTAAGAAGTTAGAGAGAGATCAACCAAACTAATTTTATATAAGATTGTAGTGGTCAGATTTTGCATTTTGCAGATCTTGGTATTATTTTGCTGGAGATCTCTACAGGTAGATAAGTTTTCTTTTCGTGTATATGAGACAAAAAAATTTAATTTATAAACTGAGAAAGTTTTTAATTATGCTATGACCTTGGATCAGATATGTCGTGCGTCTTACACTAACTTAATTGTAAAACTTTTTCGAGTATCTTGAGTAGATATTTACCATTCGTCGAAAAAAAGTTAAACTTTAAGTCAGTGAGAACGATTATTATTCTGAAAAATTTCAACAAAATCAAATTAATAGTATCAATGCTATACTAAAGAAATTTGTAGTTCATTTACTTCTTAAAAAAAAAACAATAGATAAAATATCAATGACGAAATTATGTTAGTTCGATTCATGTATGTTTCTTTCATTACTATTGTATTACTCATGGGCCTGTATCATCATTAACCAAAGGTCTCTTCCTATTATTATCAACCGGCTTTTGGGGATTTTTTATGGTAGTTTTTGTGCCACCTGTACCTCAAGCTCAATCCTATCATAATTTTGCTGATCGACGTTCGTTACGTCAATTAATTCCATCATTATCATTTATAAATATTCCAAATGCTCTTGATGTTTTGTCAAACATACCTTTTCTGATTGTTGGTCTTTATGGTCTTTATTTATTGTTAACTCCAAAGACTATCGTATTTTTAACATCATTTGAAAAATTTAGATGGATTATATTTTTCATAAGCATTTCATTTGTATGTGTTGGTTCAGCTTACTATCATTTAAGACCATATAATAGTACCCTTGTTTGGGATCGTTTACCAATGACTGTTATTCCTTAGCTCCCAATATTTATTGAATGATTGTCAATACTTGATTAATATGAGTTATAATATTGAATATTTAATTGTTTCGCGCAAAATATATCGATCATGCGTACCCTTACACCAAATTGCATTGTTGCCATCAATTCAACTGTTACTACATGATGATGGAAGAGGACAGTTACTAGTTTTTTTCTCGACGTTATAATTCACGACACAATATTGAGATAACATTCGAATGAACGAAGTTTAACTCTATAATACAAATTCAATAAAAAAAAAATATTCGAGAAAAAGTACTGATGCAATAGATAGTTGATAAGTTTTTTAATCGATTGAAAACAAAAAAATTTAAGCATTTTTTTTTATGAAATGCATATTTGTTGGATATAATCTTGATGATAGATATTTTTCCTCGTAAGAATAACATAAGTATTCACTAGAATATACGTATACCATCATTTTACTAACCAAGACGAAACTTTCCAACAACGTATATCCATATAAAAAGATGCTCTAGATAATAAAATAAAATAATTTGTGCACTGAAATAAAAGAAAGTAAGTAATATGTAAAGATCAATAGGTAGAACATAATAAAAGTCAAGAGTTCCATATTGAAGAGCACGACTATATTTCTTCAATATTAATAAGTGAAATATACAAAATGTTCTCTTGACGAATGTTTACCACTATTAGTTAAAAAATCAAGCATTAATGAAATATTATCATTAATAAAAAAATATGGATGACAGGACTACTGCTTTCTCTAAACTGAAAAATAATAATGTAAGTGATAATTATTCTGCTACTTTTATATAAAAAGGATCTTCGGATAATGAATTTGGATCAGTTCAAACATAATCCTAAGTTTTTTTCTTTGCGTCATTTAAGGTTGAATTTTTTGACATGCTTACAATATGAACTTATTGAACTTTTGATGATACAATAGAGAGTATGAGTTAATGAGTGCTATATTATTGTACAATGATTGCTTTGATGGTTCTGATAAACATTTAAAGAAATTTTAAAACAAGAACAATTTGATGTATCTGATAAATGGTAACCGAAAATTTCGAGGATTGAATGTAAAGATTAAAAAAAACAACACTGAATAAATTTAGCATAAATAAAAAAATTAAGTTGAAAACATCAAAAAAAACAATCTTTTGGGATTGTGGAATTAGTATATATGAAAAACTGGCTTTTATCTTTACGACATGAATAAATAATTCATAGTCATACACATACACCAATTTAATGCAATTTTGTTTCTATAGTTGTAGATGACAGAGGTCTCTTCATATATCAGTATGTCGCAGTTGTATGCTTTCAGATCTTTCCTGTATAACTACACAGTTTCTTCGTTCTAGTGATGACATAAATAGAATGACAACAGAAACAAGAGCAAACTTGTTTTTTTGTTCATAATAATAAAGCAAATCGATTAGATTGATTATAACATTTCTTGTACGAAAGAACAAATGACATATGATAAAGATTCTATTGTGATCAGATCTTAATTCATCACTTCCATGTAAGTGAATATTTAATGAAGTAGTTGAAACTATATTTTAAGCTTTTCTTTTTTGTTGCATGCATTACAAGTGATATGCGGTAGAGAAATGTGTTTGAGTACAGTTTCCTTTTCGATGATTTTAATAAATGACTATTAGTAAATTTATATAGCAGTCTACTGAGTCTGTTCGATTATGAAGAAGAATAAAGAATTAAACAATTCATACTAATCGAGAATTTTCAGTTCTATCAAGTGACAACAGATAGTGAATCTATATTTTACAAATCTTCTAATATTCTCATTTCAACGTTCGATTTTTTGTCTAGGCCATGATGTAATGAAAGTGAGACTACACAATTATTTATGATGTTGTCAAATATCATAAAGAGCTAGAATCAAAGCATCTTTATTTTTGTATTTTCAATTATTCTTAATATTGTCGTGTATGTTAAAATGTTTTTGTTCCAAACAGTTTAATTTCTTTTCTGTTAACGCTTTCCAATTAGTAATTCTAATTTAATGTAATTTTACTATATCCCAGTAGACATGTGAGAATGGATGATGCAATCAGACAATTCAATACAAAGACAAAAATCAACTTCTGGAAAGATAGCTATCGACATGAAGACAAAAGAGAATTCTATATATTTTGTATGATTCATTAGATCAATGAATAAGTATATGAAGAGTCAAATTTAAATCTACGTTGTTCTTGATCATTCTGAAATACAATCTCATATAAACTGACTGTATCTAAGATCTGTGTAATTTATATTTCAACGTACCAATCTACGATCATGGGCATTTTGGAGCATAGTACACAGCTAGTATACTTGAACTCATATAGCATATCGACATGAATATTCTATGAAACGAATTTTTTAATATATTTCATCACTTTGTTCAAGGAAGATACGATGTAAACATTTGTTGAAAGTATAACCAATCGTGCTGGTGTTGGATCCGTCGTCGGATCTGACCGAGTTCGAAATCGATTCAATTGATTATAAACTACAAATAACAGCCGGTTGTCACTTAACTATTTCAAAATCATCCTCAAGACCTATGCAGAACTGATTAGAGTGTATTAGTAGCAGAGCTACAAAATAACCGATAAAAAATGTATCTTGCATCTTCGAAGGTATTATCAGACACAAGCTAACAAATTTCTTTGAAACTAGAAGCACTACTCAGACTCAGATTCGAAAAAGTTTGATCAATCGGGTTTGAATCCGAAAGTTTTCAATCTGACAAACTCTAGTTTGAAGAACAGATAATTTAGTAAGACGATATATTAGATATGAGTTTAAAAAAAAACTTGTTGTAAACTAGGTAAGATTTCAGAAGATATCAAAATTTTATGTCAACAATATAGATAATATTGTTGAGAACAGAGAAAATATGAAAATGATGCATTACTGGTGAATTTCTAATGAAACAGCATTGTTAACTCGTGTAATATCTATTTTCAATAAAAAATTACGAAATTCTTCGACAAACAATCTGTATCATTGTTGATATGACTATTTACGTGGATGTAAACTTCTGTATTGAAGTAGTCTATATAGAGAATTGGAACATTTGAAAGTTATCATGATGAAAGTAAAAAAAAAATAAACTCTGACATTGCATGTTTTTTATCTCATGTATATAAAAAGTGGCAAAATATTTGCAAGCTTACATTATCCTGACTGTCTTTATCAATATGCATTTACTTTTCTTTTTCATTTGTATTTTAACTGTCTCACAAGCAGCAAATGATAATCAACAAACAGCACTTTGGAATTTATTCAAACGTGTTAATAAAAAACAATATAATAATATGAGAGAAGAAAAATATCGGTAAGACAAGAAATAAAATCATTAACGTATTTGTATATTGAAAAGATTCTTTGTTTTATTTAGTTTTGCTGTATTTAAAGATAACTTAGCTATGATCAATCGACATAATCGTGAAGCTGACATGGGTTTGCATTCGTATACACTGAAAATCAATCAATTTGCTGACATGGTAGATAAATAAATTTTCTGATCCTTAGTTTCGTATTCTATATTATTTTCATTTTAGACACATGAAGAATTTGTTCGAACGATGTTAAATGGTATTAAAATGCCGTCGACAACAGATTATGTGGAAAACCCCAAGGGGCGTCCATTTCACCCTCCATCCGATGTAGATATACCTGCAGCTATTGGTAAATATTTTCAATATTAATATCTTTGAATCGAGGAAGTTTTAACTTAGAAAGAATAGAGCTATCACCAACTTTCATAATGAGTATGTCCATATGAGTTGATCGAAAATTTCTTTGAATAAAAAATTCATATCCATTATTGAGTCATGCAAATTTATTCTATTCTGTGAGGAGTGAAGGGAACTCATCAGACCGATAATGTTTGTTTGAACTCATAGTGTAGATAAAAGTCCTGAAAGTGTTCTTGCTATTAAATCTTCCTTCTCGAGTTATGATAATTTTACTGAACTTTCAGTCTATTTCAAGATATCAAGAGAAAATTGAAATAAGGAGTTTCTATGTGAAATTTTCTTCAACAATAGCTATCATGGTTTTTATGATATTCTGAAAGTTGTAGCTCAAACGAATGCTTCTGCTCTGAGATAACGCCTTTGAGAAAAACATTAATTTCACACATGCCCTCCAAAAACAGGCTAGATCCATTTGAGCTAAAACTTTCATCATATCATAAGGCCCATGAGTGCTATTTCTGGGCATATTTTCTAACCGAAATTCCTTGTTGCGATTTCTCTCATGATATTACGAAGTAGTGTGAAAGTGCAGTAAAATGACTGTAACTTGAGAAGAAGAATCTAATGTCACACGAACTCTTCCAGAGTTTTTATCTACACCCTGAGTTCACCTATGAGCAAAATGCGTGCCTAAACGAAGATTATCAGTCGGATGGGCTTTTCCTTGACACAGTTTTTTGAATTATCCTATATATTTCTTTAAATAGATTGGCGCAAGAAGGGTGCTGTAACTAAAGTTATCGAAAATCAAGGTCAATGTGGTTCGTGTTGGGCTTTTACAGCAACGGGAGCTCTAGAAGGACAACACTTCCTAAAGACAGGAAATTTAGTACGATTGTCAGCACAAAATCTAATGGATTGTTCTGGTGATTATGGTAATCAAGGTTGCAATGGAGGTTTGATGGATGCTTCATTTCAATACATCAAAGATAATAAGGGAATAGATACAGAAGCAAGTTATCCATATGAAGCACAAGAAGGCAAGTGTCGTTTTAATTCAAAGACTGTTGGAGCAACAGATACAGTTAGTATATTTTGTCTCATATTCGTTTTACTTATTGATTTGGAAATTATAGGGTTTTGTTGATCTTCCTCAAGGAAATGAAACAGCTTTACAAATAGCTATTGCTACTGTTGGTCCAATATCGGTGGCAGTTGATGCTTCCCATAGTTCATTTCAATTTTATTCATCAGGTGTCTATGATGAACCTGATTGTTCGTCAACAAATATTGATCATTCATTTGTTCTTGTTGGCTATGATACATTTAAAAATAGTACAGTCAAAAAAGATTATTATATTGCAAAAAATTCTTGGGGTAACACATGGGGTAATAAAGGTTATATTTGGATGAGTCGCAATAAACACAATCAATGCGGTATTGCAAACATTGGAAGTTATCCTTTAGTTTGAAATTATTGTCATATTTCAAACAAAGCAATACTTTTTTTTATTTTCTACATTTTTGTATTATTATTCCTTCGACTAAAGGGAGGATTATATCAAATAAAATATGTTTGCTTGCACTTGTAGAATTATGTGTACAAATATATTTGTGCGCGTTTTGAGCAGCTATTTGAAATGAAGTTTTCTCATGTTGGCAATACAGCCAAGCACGTGACTTTGTTATCGACATTCCATCCGATCATATGTTTTCACTGTATATCTATCGTTCAATAGGATTTTTCTAGGCTAGGAGTTGAGTCACACACGTATTTTCGCTATTCAGGTTTCAAGCGATCTGTCTTTTTGGCAGGAACATCAGCTTATTAAGTGCTTCTCTTTCTAGTTTTTTTCATCTAATCACCTTTCTCAGACTGTGATTTCAACAAATGACATGTTTTTCCTGTATGACGTTCGGCCGATCAGTGTTTTCATGCTGATAGTTAGGACAATCATATATGAAGAATAGATATGACTATGAGATGTGGCCGCGAATATTAGAGTGTGATGTAAATGCTCGTACGATTCACGTATAGGGTGTGTTTACGGGTGTGACTGTTAGCTTTCGTCTGAGTATGTTCGAGTGCGAGGATTGTGTTTGTGTGAGGTAGGTGCAGCCTTTAGATGTTGTTATAGGCTGATTGGCTGTAGGTGTCAAGTTCGAATGTGTATATACCCGTATGGGTGTGTCAGTATGGTTGTCAGGTGTTTTGTATATGTTAGGTGGAGGTGTGAGTGTGAGTTTGGTGACGTTGTATATGTGTAATATACTTATAACCGGTCAGAGCTTTTTTTACATGGGAGTGACTGGTTGAAATTCTTGCCTTAAGCGACGAAAACCCGGTAAGCTTGATATGTCAACAAAGCAATCAGTATTTTCGAGAAATAACCTATTACTTCAGTTCTATGAAAGAATAAAATTTAAAACTCATATGATTCTTCAAGTTTCTAACAGTACCAACTTCTGTTGTAGTCTATCACATTTCATATGTGCTAACATTAAGAACATGCGAACGTTGTTGTCAAAATGGTTCATCTATGAACTCACAGCAACTATTATCGATTTCAAAATATAAGATACCTTAGTATTTTTTGAATAACTTTTGACTAGAGCATGACAGAGAGCTGCGGCTGGCACCATTGGAAAGATCAGCTTCGGGGCTATCGATATACATGAAAACCATTTATTTCCAAAACCTTCCTGCTGGTTTTCTAGAGATCCGGATTTTCAGAAAACCAGCATTTTTTAGAATTCGCATTAATTTTTTTTACTTTTATATCAGCAGATAGCCCAAGCTCTGCTCTATTGAATGAGACCAACCCGACTTCTCTATGACTTTCTGTTCAAGAATTAGGCCGTCTGCAATGAAGCTCGCCGCAACAGGGTTTTCACTTACTCTACATAATCTTTTCAATGAAACATGGCCATACTCACTAAAATTATGATCTTTGACAATGCTGAATATTATAGCGAACTCTCCAACTATCCCTTCTGCTCAATAATGATAAGGAGGTTCTATGTTTGATAGGCCTAATGTAAATAGGGGTGTGGGTGTGGGTGTAGGTGTGGGTGTTGGGCGTGGGTGGGGTGTGGGTGTGCGTGTGGGTGGATGGGGTGTGGATGTGGGTGTGAATGTGAATAAAAATAAAGCCAGCACTCACACCCACACCCACACCCACCCACACTCACACCCACACCCACCCATATCATGTCCATGGGTTTCTCCTTCATAATGGTGTTATTTGATTTATCGTCTTCTGATTGGTTTTCATTTTGACGTGTCATAGTATTTTACTGCTCGTGCTGGCTGATCGTGTTGTGGTAGCTTCACACAGATATCAATTGTTGAGAGTAGTAGTTAATTTCCTTTCAAATAATTGTCGATTAAGACAAGGCATCGCACCATGTACGGCTCATCGAGCAGCAAGTCGAGCTTTATATCATCAATTAATATCATCTGATATTACTAAAATCGCATTATTTTCTTATGCACATATTGCAAAACAATTCGCAATTGGTTCACCTATAACAACAAGAAATAAATTTCATAAAAAAAAATAATTCATTTATTTTACCATTAACTTCTCCTACAAATGAATTATGATCATAAAGTAACGTGGATAGACCACAAACAAATTGTTTATTAGGTATTTGCCAATTAAGTTGACCTGCTACTCTAATAGTATTATTTACTTTCAAAATTCTGCGTTCTAAAAAAAAACTTTTTCGAAAAATAGTTTATAAAAAAATAAAATTTTACTTTAATGTCGAGCGATATCAACTAAACTAACATCTGAACCAGATTCAGATGTAAGAGTAGTTTTAATTAATGACGAAATTACGTCAATAGATAATTGTGAATAATCTACATTTAAATAAAGTTGATAACGTTGAAGATAATTCGATGATTGAAAACTAAAATAGTTCTCATTTAAATAAATAAATTCTAAATTGAAAGGACTTACAATGAAGCAACTTTTTTGCTATGAAAATTTTCTTTCATTACTCATCTAGGAACTTTAAAAGAAAAAAAACTAATTCCAGTTTTTATTTATTATATATGTATTTTAAATTAGGTAAAGATGGTCCAAAATAATTTTTTAAATTATTTAAAATAGTTTGCATTAATTTAGCAGGAATAGTATCTGAATTTAAATGTTTATGAGCTCTAAAAATAAGAATATAAAATAAATTTTTTAAATAAATAATGCTACTCCCAACGATGACAACCACTCATCGCGAAAAAATAATTATTTCCTGAATTAAACGCTTCATACTAGAGAACATCAATTGGAGGAATTCGATCAGATTTCATTGACTAAATGATTGAATAATTTTATTAAATAAAATATTAATTTTCCTTTGAATAGTTTTGATAAATGATTGGACTTTATTTCATCAACTATTGATGGAAATGGACAATTAATATCTTTCATTGGAATATTGTAAATTTCATGAATTGATCCTAAATGAATCGATGGTGATAATAAACGATCATTATTAGTTAATGAAAAACTCATTTTTATTGTCGAATAAACCGATGGAAACATTGTAGTGGAAAAAAAGATTTAGATAGATAAACTAAGTGAACATAATAAAATTTTCGTTTCTGATCATCGACATGAAATATAATTCCTTTGCGATACATAAATGTCACTGCTAGTGCCCGGCGTGACCAACTTTTTTGGTCACGATCACGGTGGGGCCAGTCCGTGACCGTGAGTCACGGCCCTTCTTTCTGGTTCTTCAGCATGAAAAAAAACTTTCCAGAAAGAGCTATTGCAAAGTTTCTGTTTACTATTAAAAGTGATGGTCGGAGGTGGGAGATGGTAGCTTCGCAGAGGTGCCCATACACCCCCTCAGGAGTTTCCGAAACTACTAATACTAGAAACTTCCCAATTTTTCATAAAAAACGATGCCTGGGAGAGGGGGTAGCTTTGCGAAGGTCCTGTTATCGAGGTAACTCTCGACGACACTGTTATCACCTCATCGTCTTAATCACATTATGATCTGTCTTTTTATATGGTGTGATCGTCGTTGTATGTACTATCGTTCAAGAGATGACATGATTCTAATGTCTGTCCAATAATATAGTGGCCGTGGATATTTTTGCAATAACTTTCGATAGGAACAAGATAGAGACCTGGGGTTTTCACCGTTTGATAGAGGACAGAGAGGGGCATCGAGCCATATGATTTTCATTGGTCAATATATCGACCAATCAGATGAATTTCTTGATGGACATTATTAAGACAAGAATTTAAAGGTCAATTTCTGATGTGATTTTGACTTGTAATACCACCATTCGATAGCAAAAATTGTTCTCTGTCGATCTACGCAAGGCCGACCTTTCTACCTTGTTCCGTTCAGGAGATATAAGGGTTTTCCCGAAACCCCCGTTTTTGGCCATCTGTCCTCTGATCGCTCCAAAGTATATCTAGGGAGGGGTAATCAGTCATGCTGAGTCGAGTGGTGATATTTGTTTTTCGTTTCAAAGCGATCCGACACTTCTATAGCGAGTTTTCAGAATATTGACTATGTCGGCCCTATAGTGAGAAAATATCAGATGTCAAAAAACTCGCTATAGAAATGTTGGATCGCTTTGAAACGAAAAACAAATATCACCACTCGACTCAGCATGACTGATTACCCCTCCCTAGATATACTTTGGAGCGATCAGAGGACAGATGGCCAAAAACGGAGGTTTCGGGAAAACCCTTATATCTCCTGAACGGAACAAGGTAGAAAGGTCGGCCTTGCGTAGATCGACAGAGAACAATTTTTGCTATCGAATGGTGGTATTACAAGTCAAAATCACATCAGAAATTGACCTTTAAATTCTTGTCTTAATAATGTCCATCAAGAAATTCATCTGATTGGTCGATATATTGACCAATGAAAATCATATGGCTCGATGCCCCTCTCTGTCCTCTATCAAACGGTGAAAACCCCAGGTCTCTATCTTGTTCCTATCGAAAGTTATTGCAAAAATATCCACGGCCACTATATTATTGGACAGACATTACTAACATATATATACAAGCTTCTTTTTTTTATCGTTGCTGTTGTTGAACCTATACATCTGTTTTTTTCTTCTTAATAAACTGTATAACCAGTGCTAATAGGTCCCCCTAATATCCTTCAGGGCTTCGAAAAATTTCGAAAAATTTCTCGTGACTAACCGTGAGCAAACTCCAGTCACGGCGGTCATGCCGGGCACTAGTCACTGCTGATCTGTCAGTTATAAGTTATTTTCCCGGATCATGGTTGCGATTCGTTTTTTTTCTTCACTAAGCAATTATAGGTAACACAATGAATGAACAAATCTGCCGAAGACGAAGAAAACAATGGTTAGCCGTTAAGATATTCGTTCTTTCTTGATTTATTTTCCCCTCGATTGTCTCTGATATATAAATAGACATAAACTATGTCTTCTCTTCGAATACATCTGCTCCTAATATTATGTGTCGCCCACGACGAAATGTACGTATATCTTAACGGCTGTATTTTTTACTTTTTGTTTTATTTCAACAGTAGATTTTTGTTTGAATCTGATCAAACTTTGGATAATATAAAAATTGTGTGTTCATTTGCCAGTTCGTAAAACGATTCGATGATTGATTTACAATGGTTAGTTTTATTAAATATGTATAAGATAATGATTTTTCTTTTTGCGTGGTCTATAGGTCGATATCGTGAATAAACCAAAGGCACTTCATCCGGTAGTAGCACAATTTACCCAAATACTGGATGATAAAGACAACACCATAGAACGAAAAGATAAGGAATTATTAGAACTCAGAATGGAAGTTCAATCACTTCGAGAACAATTAAAATCAATGCAAAAAAATTCTATTGGTGAAGAAAAATTTACTAATGGTGGAGAAAATATTGGTGATAAAAACTGCATTGATCATGAAGAATTTACTAGTGAAAAACATATTGCGGCTGGATCATTAACCAATGGTGAAGAAAGCATCGATGATGAACAATTTACTGATGGTGAACAAAATATCCGTCGTGAAAAACCGGTTTCTATTATTTTAAACACATTGAAGCAATTTGGTTTTTACAATCTTGGAGGATTGGTTTTTATTGTTCCGATCTTTTTATTCATAACTAATCGGAAATAACTGTAAACATATTCTTGTTTCTCCAGACTATTGTTTGTTCAGATGTTATTCCTAAACATGTTATTCAAGAATTTGTTATTAGAATGTGAATTTATAAATAAAATTTACTTAATAATGTATTAACGCCAATACGAAGTTAATACACAACAATCGAATTATATGATTTTCCTTCATAAGTAATTTGTTCCGCAGGACAACCAATAGCTACTGCACCAGCACCAAATATATTTAAGAGCTAAAATAAGAAATGAATTTTAGAACATTAGGTTTCTTTTATGAAAGAAAAATGATCCTCAATCATATTTTTGTGCTTCTAAAACTTGATCTATGGTTCTTTCTCGTTCAGGAACTGTTATATGTTTCTAAAGGAAAAACAAAGAATTATGTTAAAGTTGAATTTGTAGATTTTTATTTATGTATGTCCAAGATCTAGAACACTGACGAGTAACACCAAGCAGGGGCGTAGTCAGAAATTTTTTAACGGGGGCTGCCCGCCAGCAGAGAAAATCCTTGATGCTTGAGAATAATTTTTTAGCTCTCCACCTCCCTTCGGACATTTTTTGCCCAAGGAATGGCGCCTGTGCAACTAGGGCACCCCCTGGCTACGCCCCTGACACTAGATGAAATCAATCCATTCAAAGGTGGTGTAACTAATTACGTATTATTTCTTTTTCTTCGTTTTGGACAGAGATTTGTTTCGTTTAGAAGAATATTCTAAAACAATGAAATTCGCCAAACATATATCCGCACATATCATATCGAAATATACTAGTCAATATATTCGATCTGATGATATGAAAGAATTATTTGTACGAACGGTTCCGAAAGCACAACCGTTTGTGGATGAAAGTGATAATATTTTACGTAAACAATTTTTTTTAATGTGTTGATGAACGTGCTGTTCAAGTAGGAAATTCAATTAAATCTTTATTTAATACAGTTTTTTCATTCTATAGTATTACAAAAAAGAAGCAACAAAAACTAATAGTTTTTTCACCGAAACACTTGCGAGTAACACATTATGAATGATTTTTTTGTTAATGTATTTTTTTACAGAGCATTACGACGATGGGAAACTTTAAAAAATGAAGTTGGTTATGTAGAACAATCTCGTCGTCTTACATTGCATCGTTCAACCGGTGAATCAAATGTTGATAATGAACAAAATGAGAATACAAAATCAAGAATAATGAAACGTCATGATGGTCATTGAGAAGAACATACAGCATTAACACGTGTTATATCAGAACGTATTATTGAAAAAACAAGTGAAAAACAAATATAACGTATACAATATAGAAAACTTAATGATTTAAAATTAGCTTTTAGTGAATTTTATTTAATGCTTGTTTTATTACGAAATTATCATACATTAAATTTTACTGGTTTTTCGAAAAATATTAAAAAAATATGATAAATTATTTCAAACAAGACGTGTTGAAGAAAGGAGGTAAAAAGATTTTCTTTTCTTTTAATTCTTAAGATAAAAAAATTTATTTTAATCTTCAGAAAATTGTATATTGATTCAGCTACATTTCATATATCAAAACGCGTTGAACAATTAATAAATGATGTTGAAACATTTTATTCTGAAGCACTTGAAGAAGATGATCGAGCACGTACAATGAAACGTTTACGTGTTCCACCATTAGAAGAACAACAATCACTAGCAGTTACATTTCGTGTTGAAGTTTTTGTTGGTAAAGAATTCTTTTTTTTGAAATATGAGTTCATAAAAAAACGAAATTTTTCTTAGAAATGATTTTTTTTTACTTTCGGCTGTTATTATTCTTGGTGCAAGTTTTCATGATAGACAATCAACAAAACCACTTGCTTGGCGACAAGCACTGTTTCTTTATCGTTCAACATTTCTTATTGTTCTTCATATAGTTCCAGTCGCTATTAATGTTTATGGTTGGTCATCCTTTGGTGTTAACCATGTATTAATATTTGAAATAGATCCACAAAATCATTTAACTTATGAACAATTTTGAGAAATAGGTACTTTTCTATTTGTTTTATGGTTTTTAGGTTTTAAGGGATTTATTTTATCATCTTATTTTGATGTTCATTCATTTATTCAACCACTTGGTTTTGTTACATTAATTCTTTTATTTTTAGTTAATTCAACACCAACACTTTATCATCATGCTCGATTTTGGTTTTTAAAAACTTTTTTTCAAAATGTTTTGTGTATCAATTTATCGTGTTGGTTTTGCTGATTCTTCGCTTGATGATCAATTAACATCACTTGAATTAATATTTTTTGATATTGAATATTTCTTTTGTTTTTATATTTATGACGTTGGATGGTGGCCAGTCAATTCTTCATCATCAACACGTTGTTTATTGTGTAATGGTTGGCAACAAGTACTTTTACAAATACTTCTAATGATTATACCATCATGATTTCGTTTTGCTCAATGTTTAAGACGATATCGTGATACAAAACAAAAATTTTCTCATTTAGTTAATGCTGAAAAATATGCTAGTGGATTTTTTCGTAATTGGTACAGATACAGTACGTCGTGCAACAGCTACACATTATCTTGATGATTCAACATCAAATCTATTTATATATATTTGAATTGTTGCATCATTTATTGGTGCAACATATAAAGTAATATAGGATTTAAAAAATAGATTGGAGATTTTTTGACAAAAATGCAGAAGAAAATAAATTTCTACGTAATCAAATTGTTTATCCATCGAGATTTTATTATTACGCAGCTTTTATTGAAGATGTTATTTTTCTTCATATATGGGCTATTAATGTCTTTAGACAATTTCGTAGATTTTCAGCTGAATATATTGATATTATTGGTTTTATATTTAGTTTAACTGAAATCTTTCGTCGATTTATATGGAACTATTTTCGTTTAGAAAATGAACATTTAATTAATTGTGGAGAATTTCGTGCTGTACGAGATATATCAATAGCACCATTATCAACTGCTGTTGATCATGCAACATCAGAAAATATGATAGATAAAGAAATGGGAATTAAAAATCGAAAAAAGGTAAACGACATAATTTAATTCCAAAAAATGCAAATGAAGAAATACAAAAAAGAAACAGATGATAATGATACAATTACTATGAATGCATTTCAAATGTTTATCTGGCATTTTTCTAGTGATATTCATTTGAACAGTTTGTGTCTGTATCATAGTGAATCTTGAATATTTTTTTTCTTCAGCATGTATTAATAATTCTTTCTTTTAAATTATTCATAAAAATTTCTAATTTTTCTTTTTGCGTTTCTTTTCAAGATGCTTGATAGAATTGAATCAACCTATATTGGTATAGGTCTTGCATTACGAGTATTTCTATTCTTTCAAACGAGAATAAAAAATGATTTTGAAGATAATGCAGAATTTGTCACACCATTAAATTCGTGGGAAAGAAGTAAAATTATTCCTCTGATATTAAACTATAAGATTATTTTTGTATTTTTAGTTATCGAAGGAATTTATCTACGAAAATTCAATCTTTCACTATTTGTTGGATCGATTATACATGAAGTATGTAAAGGGATATAATTTTCATCACTGATAACATATTTTCCTTTTGGTGTATTCAATTACTTCACTCTAAGGTTCGTTAATAAAAAAACAATAGAAATTTCTTTATTTTTCTGTGATTAAAATCCAACACTATGATAATGTTGTTTAATGATCTACACTACATCCTCATTTGTTCTCATCTCATATAAAAGCGATCATACGCGAAGAAAGGTATAACAAGAACTGCCGTTATTATAAATGATATGATTATTGACATTCTGTTCAAATAGCCATGACATCAATTAGGATAATAAAGAAGTGTAAACAGCTATACATTCTAACATGGGTTTTTAAGAAAATTAAAATAAATCTTCTTAAATAAAAAAAGAAAAAGTTAATTATAAAGAGGTTACAATAAGCATTGTGATATAATTTTGTTTGTATCTTAAGTACATCGATCTTGGATTGAATTGTGTGAGAGAAAATTTATGCCTCAGTTTCCAATCGATCACCAGATAAAAGTGCGTGACTGGAAATTAATTTAATAATCATTTGAATTAAGTTCATATTCTCCTATCAAAAATATTCACAAAACAAATAGCTATGAAATTTAATTAGTAAGCATAAAGTATTATGCTTATGCCCCCCTCCCCCTCAGAAACGATTTTCCACTTTTAACGGTCCTTTCATGTTGAAATTTTCAGGGATGAGTGATCTTGGAGAGATACGCTTCTGGTAAAAATTTCAGCTCGATTGGTCGCGTACCAGACCTGATTTCTAGCTAATTTATGGGTCATTTTTGGCCTTCAGGAGAATCGATATAACTTCATCATAACAAGAGATAGAGAGATCGGGCTGGTTTCAAATTAAAGTACATGTCAGCACGCAGCTTTTATCCAAATAGAATTTTTATATTCCGTTCAGTTCATTTTTTATGAGCATTTTAGTGCAAGAGTCTTAAAATTAGCATAAAAAATAGTGGTCCAACGACAGTAAATTCCACTTTTCTTAGTCTAGAAGCCAACTTTAAAAAATCTGTTCGGCAAAAAGTTTTCTCTAATCGAGACCTTTAAAACAAAAAGAAATATTGATAGTAGCTCGAAAAATGAGAGAGGAGTTCCATTTTTTCTGATTCAAAACCATGTTCTGAGAAAAACTCTAAAGAAGTTTTAGAAATGTTTTTTTGTATTTAAATTCAAAAAACTCATATTAAAATGGCATATGTCTAATATATTTTCTTGAAGTATTGTAAGGCACGTAAAACATGCAGTAAAACTAATGCCATCTGACATGCTGGTTAATATTAAAATGTTCTATTCAATGATAATTCAAGTAGTAACGGAGTTTTTTCAAAACTGAAAAACTTTAAAAAAGCCACGAAAATTTCTGGGAAAATATGGTAGTGACGTCAAAGTCTGATCAGATAAGTCTTTGAAAATCGGGTCATTCTCCAAAAACCTATATATATTCTGAAAGAGGAAGCTTCGCTGTATCTTCCTATGGTAAAAACTCAATTTCAAAATTGTTTGGAAAAATTCGATTTTCTGAGGGAGGCCTTAAATGAAATCATTAAATAATCATAAGAAAATTTGAACATGTCTTTGGAAAAGTGATTTTGAAAATTTAATGTAAACAAGTATTATTCATGTTAATAAGGGCCATCTATTATCTAACTTATTTATTGATTAATAGAAATATTCGTGCCTTGAAACCGTATCGGCACTCGATCGGTAAATTCGTTCGACTTGAATATACTACTAACACTGTTAATGCTTGTTCGCCAACTTGTGATATTAAAGCATCAAATGGAGGTGTATTGGTCATAGAAAAAAAAGAGAATCTTTATTAGATGATGATCGAACAAATCATATAAAGTTGAATCAATTAGTTCTAAAATACATTGGTCACATATATACTGATATGAGTCCGGATGATAGATATAAAGATTTATTATTAATTTATATTAGTTGAGATTTTGTGTTGATAGATCACTCATAAAGAAAGCATATAAATTAGCTCAATGATATATACTTATTTATGGACAAACTGTGTCACGATCTCAGTAAGGTAAACGAGTATAACGAGCTTATTTATTTGATGACGATGATGATAATGATCCAAATTACGATCCTGATGTGGTCGAATCTGAAACATTCACATTTTCTAAACGTATAGCTCAATCAACTGAAGAAGAAATAAATAGTGAAACATTAGCAAAAGAAAAACCAGTGATTGTTCTTTTAAATAGAAAAGCAACAAAGAAAAAAAGCTAAAGATGAAAATGATAAAGTTAAACTTTCTGCATAAGAAGCAATTTTAAAAGATCTTAAAGAAATATTTGAATGTATTATAAATTTAATTCAAGTTAAAAGTATGTCTTTATCAACCGTTGAAAACAAAAAAAAGCATTAAAAAATTAATTGAACAAATAAAATACATCGTACGAACGATCTTAAACGTCTTCAATCAAAATGGCGATTTTTGTCTGGACGTCAGTAATCAATGACCCCATATTGGAAGTTATCCTTTAGTTTGATATTATTGTCATATTTCAAACAAAGCAATACTTTTTTTATGTTCTACATTTTTGTATTATTATTCCTTCGACTAAAGGGAGGATTATATCAAATAAAATATGTTTGCTTGCACTTGTAGAATTATGTGTACAAATATATTTGTGCGGATTTTGAGCAACTATTTGAAATGAAGTTTTCTCATGTTGGCAATACAGCCAAGCACGTGACTTTGTTATTGACATTCCATTCGATCATATGTTTTCACTGTATATCTATCGTTCAATAGGATTTTTCTAGGCTAGGAGTTGAGTCACACACGTATTTTCGCTATTCAGGTTTCAACCGACCTGTCTTTTTGGCAGGAACATCAACATATTAAGTGCTTCTCTTTCGAGTTTTTTCATCTAATCACCTTTCTCAGACTGTGATTTCAACGAATGACATGTTTTCCCTGTATGACGTTCGGCCGATCAGTGTTTTCATGCTGATAGTTAGGGCAATCATATATGAAGACTAGATATGACTATGAGATGTGACCGCGAATATTAGAGCGTGATGTAAATGCTCGTACGATTCACGAATAGGGTGTGATTACGGGTGTGACTGTTAGCTTTCGTCTGAGTATGTTCGAGTGCGAGGATTGTGTTTGTGTGAGGTAGGTGCAGCTTTTAGATGTTGTTATAGGCTGATTGGCTGTGGGTGTCAAGCTCGAATGTGTATATATCCGTATGGGTGTGTCAATGTGGTTGTTGAGTGTTTTGCATACGTTTGATGGAGGCACGAGTATGAGTTGGGTGATGTTGTATATATATGGCATACTTTTAACCAGTAAGAGTTTTTAGATAGGGGTGATCGATTGAAATTCTTGTCTTAAGCGGCAAAAAACCGGCCCACTTGATATGTCAACAAAGCAATTAATTCTTTCGAGAAACAACCTATTACTTCAGTTCTACGAAAGCATAAAATTTTAAACTCATATGATTCTTCAAGTTTCTAACAGTACCAACTTCTATTGCAGTCTATCACATTTCATATGTGCTAACATTAAGAACATACGAACGTTTTTGTCAAAATGGTTCATCTATGAACTCACAGCAACTAGTATTAAACAACATCTATTATATTATATTTTGATTCACTTTTATCAACAATGATTACGTTTCTTTAAAATTGCTAAGTTTAATCTATTCTAATTTGCAATTAATACATTAACATAACTACAAGACATCTCAATTCTTAAAAAGATACTATTGCTGACAGAAAGATAAGATGAGCTAAAACATACGGTTTTTATATCAGATGTCCAATATCAGGATTTCTTACTACCTAAATATTTTCCCAATTGCACAATGCTAATATTTAGCAAGACCTTGACAACAGGATGATATTTTTCAAATATTTTGTAATGAAAGCGTGAACTGAAAACAACTAATTAGTAATTAGAAAATAGTCGAGAAAAGTGCCCTCAAAACTTCTACATGAAAAACATTTAGTTTAGCTCGAAATTTACTTTTAATAGCTGGCTAACTTTTCGTGATCATAAAAACTCACTGAACATGATTCGAAGCTCTAATTGTACGATGAGAAATGGTTAACTTAATATTTAGAGCTGAAATTTTGATAACAGCTGAAAATATTTCAGTTGGAAACTTCCAGACTCAGGCGTCTTGGTTATTGAAAGGATAGACATTGTTAGAAATCAGCAAACTAGACCAACTTTAGTACCAGTAAAAAGTTGATGAAAACTATCCGCTTAAAAGAGCTCAAATGGACTGATTTGTTAATCGATAGACAGGATCGTTTGGTACTGTTTTGTTGATTCATCGCCAAGTATGCTGACATAGATTAGTCTCATTGAAGTTGGAATAATATGTGCTGATAAATCTGTACATGGAGATGTAGATTTAAGTGTGATTGATTGAATAAATGAAGGAAAGAACCACACGAACGCTGACAACCATATCAACATCCAAACTTAGATTGACACACCCAACTGCATGTATAAACTTGATATGAGTGTCGATTGGACTTGTAAAGTAGTAAGTTATACTGAAAGAGTTGAACATTCATTCGAGGATCAAGCGTGTCGTAACGAGGAGTGTTACTTGTTTTTAAATCATCAAGAACAATGATGAGTATGTTCTAAACAAGATTCGAAGTGTTTTATTTAAAAGATAAAGCTATAATTAAGTAAAATAATGTTTCATACAATAAAACAAAAAAGAAAAATTAGCTGAGAGGTTGAAAAAAGATTGATTCATTTAGGTTAGTAACAAAAAATTTTGTAACTACCTATAAAACTATCACAATTGAAAAATATATTAGAATCAAATATTTGGTCTACTCTTCCATCAAATCAGTGACAAATAGCGGTATACGAAATTAGCCATTCATTGGTTCTAAGGATTTTCTTTAATATCTTGCTAACCGAATAATTTGAGTAACAATACGGTTTTTATCTAATATTTTGTTCAATCAAGGCTAAATATCTGATTATAAATTTTAATAATAACATCAATAAAGGAGTGTCACTTTTTTGATTAAATTAGAAACCTTCATAGTTAATAAACTTATGTCATAATACTCCGTTTTCTAAAAGAAAAAATCAACTCGACTAGATTATTTAGTATTACTGATGAAAGCAATAATGAAGACTAGAAAAATTTCTATTTTATAGATCTATAAAATTCGGCTGTTTGTATAAGCAATATTTACAAAGACCAAAAGAAAAACAAATAGTAAATAATAACCTTCTACTAGTAACCTTATAACAAAATCAAACATTTCACCCTTGAAATTTTTATTTCAGTATATAACTGTTTAACAAAATAAAGGCGTCATGAGATGTTTAACTATATAACAACTCACATTTCAATTTTATTTTGACAAGTATTAACTTAAGAGTTTAAACACTTGAAAGAGTACTCCAATAATTGAGTACAACTTTCAAACATTATACGAAGGTGTTAAGAAGTCGTGAAATATATTTCACTACAAATCGTGGAAGTTATGTTTATTAAGTGAATGTATAAATGAAGAAAATATTTATATAAAAATCGAACATATATATTATTGAAAAAAGATAGAAATAACATCGGGTTGTGTTACTGCATTTTCTGCTTCCATTAAACGTTTTTCAGCACCTACTGGAATTTTGTTCCAATCAAATTGTGAATATTCAGTTAAACTACGTCGTAAGGCTCGATTACGTACAGCTTCATTTAACAATTGTCTATTTCAAAGAAAGGCACAATTAAATATTTTTATTTTTTTGAACAATATGACAAAAATATTTACTCATTTGATTGATCATTCTGATTGTTTTCTTTGATCTGTACCGTAGATTTCGTTGTCGATGGTAATGATGAAAAAAATATTCGCTTTTCTAATGGATTTTGTTCCTGTTTTGGTTCGAGATGATAAGCAAATCCAATACGATTAAGCACTTTTTTTCGATCAGGATGACGATCATTAAATGCTTCAGTTCGATTCGCATTTGAAATCGCTAATATAAGAATAGAAATATAGAACTGATGGGTCTTTTTTTTTTTTCTTAAATACTTTTTCGATCAAGAACACGTAGTTTTGGAAGTAAATCAATTATTGTTGATTTATAACCATGAGCAAAAGTCACTGGATTATCAAATAAATCTAAATAACACAACGTTTTAATGTATTAAAACTTAATGAATTTAACTTACTAAGATCTTCAAGTGCGTTTAAATGTCGTAATTCATAGGCAAGTTTGTCAAGATTTGATATTTGATTATTTTGTAAATGAAGTATACGTAAATTTTTCAATTGACTAAGTGATCCTTTAATATTCGATATATGATTATTTCCTGCATAAAGTTCTGCTAATGCCAAATTTGTTTTAATAAAATCAAGATCTTGAAGATGATTTCCATCAATTAAAAGACAATTTAAATGAGGAAATATGGAAAGTGATGGAATATTTCGAATATCTCTATGAAATAATAAAAAATAATAATGTTTTCGCTGTTGATAAAACTTATTTAACAAACCGATTATTTAAATAAAGTGTTAATACATCTTTTTTCGCCAAAACTTTTTTTCCTAATTTTTGTTCAGATAATTTCAAAGTCTTCAAAAAATAAAGAAAAAAAAAACCTTATAATAGACAAAAAAAAAAAGATTTATTTTGAAGACATACATCGATAACCACAGTTCCTTGTTCTTGATTACCATCGGTCTTGATGCGAAGCATTTTGGCAACTAAGCGACGAACAATCGTTATGCTTGAAGACCTATATATATATATACATATTTGTTTTTGTTATTTTTCAAGAACTTATGAAGCAATAGAAATTATTAATAAATTCTATCATACTAATAAAATTATTAATCAAATTTGAATAAGAAATTAAAAGCATTGAAATAAAAATCTTTAATTGGAAAGCGACAACTAGCGTTCTTATTCTCATTTGATTAATAATAATTGACCAATAGAAATATGAGACTAAGAGAATAAGAATAAAAATCCGTCGGAACAAAGGCAAGAAACAAATTCGCATTTGTCCTTCAATTTGATTTTATCATATTTTACAGTTATTTTTCTGTTTTCACAAGATTGGTTGATTACTAATAATATATAATTATCAGTTTTATTTAGTCATTTTCTCTTCAATTGTTATGCAAGTATGTTCTATATCTCATAATCATCAATGGATTAATTATAGATAACACTCTTTAACATTGAATAGATTTAAATTAGAAAAACAAGCAGCTTATGTAGGTAAAATAAATTCAATTAAGTCTTTTTTTAGATTAGCATTGTTCGTTAGATTTTAATTCTTACTGAAAACATCTCGGATTGTAACATCTTTACACCTTTTAGAGCGAAAGTAAAGAATTATGATTAGTTTATAAGTTCATCAAGACATTTTTTTTATCTCTTAGAAGATAAACTTGTTAATTTTATCAAGAAAAATTAAACTAAATACATTGAACTTATATTCAAAATTAATTATTGGTTTTTATCTTATTTTTGGCTTGGAACAGATCTGACCCGAGAAACGCAACATTGAAGGCTGTAAAGGTTTTTGTTGATTGTGGAGTATTACATTGAGTTATTCCGGACTGAGAAACAATCTTTCTTTCAAAATTGTTTTGCCAGTGAGAAAAATAATCTTGGTAATATTCTTAAAATTCTCTTCTAATTGATTCATTTTTCTCTTGTTTAAACGTTCAAATTAAGCTTGTTATAATAGCATATTGATTTTTCATTGCTTTCTTCTATATGAGTAGTACTATATTTCAACAGCTATGACAGAATGTGATAAGCAGAATCAATAGTATCATAGAGTTTTAATTTTCAGTATTGATTAGCTTTGTATCTAAAAATAAATATTTCTAATTTATTCTATTAATTATTTCAGATGTGTGAACATTTTTCAAGTAATCAAATTTTTTCAACATCAAATTCTTCATGTTTGGATGCAGTTGCTCTTTATGGACATAGTCCAACTGCTTATAATTTAGCAAATCTTTTTTCATCTGTTGGTCTTCATGTATATCTATTATCATCAAATACTAATGAAACATGTTTATCATCAAGTAATTTTACTTTAATTAAAAATAAACATGATTTACCATATTTATCATCTGTATTAATAAATTGTCAAAATGATTTAATATCAATAAAAAATTTAATAAATTCATTTCCAGATGAATATAAACAACGTATGGCTTATGTTGAATGTTCATCGTATATGGGACATAATCAAATTGAATTAATTTATGAAGAAATTAAATTTCGATATTATCTTTGTATGAATTTAATTGAATTAGAAACAAGTACAATGATTCAACAACATTTTCATCTTATTTGTAGTGGAGATAATATTGTTTTTCAAACTTTACTTTTACAAACAAATATACCAGCTAAAATAACGTTTTTAAATCAAACCAAAACTCCTTTTGATTCGTTTTATATTTGTTTATTACATCGATATTCACAAGCAATGCATTTAGCTATTTATGCTGAAATGATGGCCATTTTAAAAGCTGCTAATAATATATATCCAGGTATGTCAATTTTTTGTTTTTTTTTATTTCAAATAAAAGAGATCTTTCAAGAAGTTAGAAGTTTTTATATTTGGGCAAAATTATGAGTTAGTGACATGGCTTCGCATGATTTGAAACACACATTTATCTCAGGATAATGAACTTTCCTAGAGATAATTCTTATGTCTAACATGTATATTAAGTTAATCTAGATAATCTGAAAAAAATAGTGTTAGCAATGTGACATAGAAGAAGATGTCGATTGTCACTTCGTGCATTTTATTAAAAAAAAAACTTAGAATGGAGGCAGCATGTTAGTAGAAAACGAAATAGTACATTATGTAGGTCATTCTTGCAGCGACTGAATGTCCATCTAAAGTTTTTTTTTAAAAGTGTATCTAGATTTTTTTTCAAACAATGCTCTTAGAACCACATGAGAAGTTGCAAAACAATTTTAAACAATATACATCATTCTTCAAAATCCTAGAACATCGGTTTTAAAAGAAATTTTTTTAGATTTCTTTCTCATATGGTCAGAGAAGTGTTTGCTGAGTACTTTTTAACTACTAGTTAAGTGAAAGAACCAACAATTTTCCATAGTTCTACTCTAAAACAATTTATTCAGAAAAATAACCTTTGTAAAGAATGAAAGATGAATATGATCTGTTTTTTCCTGAAATTTGATACTTGATTCTTTTATTCAAAGTTTCACTGGAATCTTAATGTAGAATTTTATCTTGTGTATAATTATTCAGATTATGCCTGGAAATAAATCAGAGAAAATAGAGGCTTCAAAACATGCGAAATCATTGAAGAAAAACTAGATACATTTGTAATAAAGAAATATTACACAATTATTATTTCCTAGTTCCATTGAATTCACAAAATAAACTAAATATATAATGAAAAGAAGAAGACATCTTATGTTGAAAATGATAAACTCCACTCAGTTTAACGGTCATCTAAAGTATTAATTGTGAAAAAAATGATCGCATGTGAATTTATGCCAAATTCTTGCTTTATTTAAAAAAATTGATTCAATTATTACAATACATATAGATGCTTTTCTACCTATATATCTTAGAATTGTACATTTATTGTATTGGTACATTCTTATATGTAAAAGTTAAATATCTTGAGTTGTTCTCCATCAATCTTTATAATTTTTTCAGATTAGGTTTCTCTAGAGAACCGGATAGTAGCTGTAGTTCTTCTCTTCATTTACACCTACATCCTTATAATCTATAAGAATAAAACGTTCTTATAGAAAAAAAAAAATTCTGAAATCTCCTCAATCACGGAAAGAAATTTAGCTTGATAGAATAAAATAGAACTGAGATATTCAAATTTTTCATCATAAAACAACTTTTGAATAATCTTCCACCATTCTATTACGCATACAACTGAAGATTCACGTTTATTATTCTTTCTATTATACTTTTCACTTACGTAAGCTTTTTTAATCAAAAAGAAAGAAATGTTAACCAGATGATATAATCATTTCTGATCAACTAGAGTGGTTATTTTTTCAAATAATAGCAAATCCAAATCAAATTAACTTGAAATTATTTTCAGTAAATTTCTTATTATATTTCAAAAGAACATTGATAAATATCATAGAATTATTCATAAGAAAATAGATTTAATTCTTCAACATAAAAAGAAAACTTAATTTTTTGTCTTTTGTAGGTAATCTTCAATTTTTATTTGATTGGTCTTATATAAAGCGACCAATAATGCGTCAAATAATTCTTCAATCATTATCATCATCATTTACATTTACAACAATAAATGATTATCAATTACTTCTTGAATGTATTATTGATTATTTTTATAAAAAAAATTTAAATGAAAATGATAATAATCATTTAAAAGTTATAACATACAAACTTCATAAATTTATTTCCAATTTAGATAGCAAACAAAAACAAAAACCATTATTTGAATTATTTACATTATATTAGTCCAAAAAAAAAGGCTAACATTTTTTTTCTTCATTAGACAAATAGTAATTGTTTTGTTCGATTTTTTTCTATTAATCATTACGTAGTAATATTAACAATAGTAAACTTTTTTGATAAATATTCATTAAATATTTATACAACAATACTTGCTTTTCTTTTCTTCAGATTAAAAATTAATTTAAAGAGAAGAAAACAATGGATGATTATTCAACAAAAATAAAAATATCTGCTGAACATTTAATTCGTGTGGTATTTCCAGAAAAAGCTCTTGAACTTGACACACTTGTTTCAGTTTGTATTTATTTTATTAATTTGATTATAAATAATTTGTTTTCCTTTTTTTATTTTTATTTTCAAAGAGTCCAGTATTATCATTCAGTGAAGTATCGAAAGTTCGTGCAGAAATTCGATTACCAACAGCTGATGATCTTCTTGCACACAGTAATAATATAGCATCCGGTGATGTAAGTTTCATTGATTAATTTCAATATAGTATTCATCCTAATTATGACAAAAAGAAAAGAAAAAAATCAATTATCAATTCTATATATCATTATAGCTGGCGTTAGGGAGCTGTGGGTCCAGATTTTTATAGATTCAGCTTCGGCAGGACTCGTAGCTCTTTCGTTGGTGTAGTTTGTTTTGTCTCAAAGCACTCTTTGTTTTCGTTTCAGTAACACAAAAGATCGTTCTACTTAATCTGAATAGCTAATAGTAGGATTGGGAAATTATCCCTTATCAAGTAACGGAGATTTTGTGGGTTTACCAAGGAAAAGGTACTTTTCGAAATAAATGATGCTTTATTAAGTTGTATCAACGATTTTTTGGAATAGCGATCCTAATCTCTAAATGGATTCTTGAAATTGTATACTTGACCTACCAGTGCAATAAAAACTACATTAGAACACTTGACTGAGAAGTTGTTCACGGGTTTGGATTCCTCGACATTGAAAACCTTTGGACAAAAATCGTGATTTTTCCAATAACTATTTCTCGAGGGAAGAATCAAATATATGAATTTTTCCGTTACCTGCTACTTGGTAACGCAACGGTAACTTTCCTCGCCTATTTTAGTGACTAAACTCACTGAGTCAAAAGGCGTTGGCTTCGAAAATTGCTTTAAGTAATAGAAAAATTCTAAAATCTGTTAAATAAGATATTTCAACAAAATTGTCTAAAAGAGTATTCTGTAAAACAATTATTTTAAATTGTTTGAAACAATTCGATAATAGTCGTGCAATATTACGCTAGCCAGAAATTATTCTGAACTCATATTCCGAAAGATGGGAAAAGTTTGATTTTAAGTAGTCGAAAATTATGTACTAAGACATTAAAAAGTCATCCTGTAAGCATTGATTTACTGTCGCAATAACGATTGTAGTACAACATGGAATAGAAACTCCACACTTCATTAGTATGAATGCAAGTATGGAAAGCGTGCGGTTTAGTTTTAAATATTGTTGAAAACATAAGAAGAAAATAGTCATTTTCTACATCCACCACATTTTGAAGATGTTATTATGGACTTCTTCAAAGAGAAAATAAATTTCAATATAGTATTCTAAAAGTATGTTGTTAAGTATTTGTCGAAATAGACGAAAGGAATTTCTATTCGTCAGATTTTGATAAGTTTTTGCTTGACAAGTATATTAATTAAAAGAGATGATTTATTTGAATATCAGTTTTTTTTTTTTGCAAAATATGACAAAAGCTTAAAAATATCCTAAATTTCTAATTTATTGCATATCAATGTTTTGCTAAATCACTATTATATGATAAGAAAAAAACAATTAATTTTTTCTTCATAGGATCGTCATCATTCTGCATCGGTGCCTAATACTAATACAACGAAAAAACGTCGAACAGACTCAACAGATAATGCTAATTCAATACCATCAAGCTCAACAAGTCATAATGTCGATGCAGGAACACCAGTATATGTATTTAATGGTATTGTTCCTTCAAATCCATTGATAACAATTTTAGAAGAAAAGCTCAAACCATTTATTTTTCATTTTCTTGATAGTGTATGTATAATATATACATACATTTGAATGATTTGTAATTTTTTTTGCTACGATGAAAATTTTAGTTGTATTTGGCTAATAATTTCTGTTTCTGTCGATCAGCTTGGATAATTCTTTTTTTACATTTTATTCCTCTTTGAAAGCCTCACTGCTATACAAAATTTTAGCTCTTACTGTCACTGAATTATAATAGATACATTATTTTTACAAAGTCATTTTTTTATTTATATGTGCACAGAAAACGAATTTTTTTCTGCCTTGACAAAGCAAGAGAAAACGGATGTAATTAGTCTATTTTACACAGTATTTGACGCTCTATCAAAATATATGACTAATTTAAAGTTCATTTCATCTTCGATCCTTCATCTGACGTCCACAATATTTTACGAACACTTCTATGTTTTCGTGTCGAATAACACAAACTTAATTCGAGCTCTATTTTTGATACAGGTGTCGGTGTGCAGACTGTATGAGAACAAAGAGAACGCTTTCAATAACAAACTAATGACAAAAAGTTCCCTCTTACAAACTTTATTATGGAGGAAAAGATAACAGAACTGTTTGAACAAAGGTCATTATCTTCACTTTGAAGAATAACGACTAGAAAATTATTTGCATTATAATTCTTCAAGGAAGCACTTTTTATTTGGTTCAACCTTTCATAGTAGATGAAAAAAAAAGTTCTATTAGTGATAAAAATTCCAGCTGTTGGCCTTATATCACCAAGAAGGAATCCAAGTTATACTAAAAAATTTCGAGTAATTAGTGAATCAAGCTGTACAACGTGTATTTTCTTTTACTATTCCGTGAAGTATTCTGACACATTTGTCGCTTAACACAGGTGTAGATTATAATACAAAAAAACTAGTCAGATATTGTTTAGGCTTACTTCTAGTTTTTCATGTTAACCGTATTGAAAAGTTGCAATTCAGTCATATATACATTTTCTGAGAAAAAAATTTCTTACATAGATTATATTTTTATTTAGATTGCTATTATTAAATTATGGATTCAATTAATGATACCAAAAGTTGAAGACGGAAATAATTTTGGTGTTAGCATACAAGAAGTAAAAATATTTAAAGAGAAAAAGAAAAAAAAGAAAAAAACTTTTCTATTTAGGATTCATTAGCAGAAATTCGAACATTAGAAACGGATGTAACACAATATCTTGATTTAACATATAAATATTTAGTATCACGTGGTGAACTTGTTAAAAAAGTAGCTAAATATCCTCATGTTGATGATTATCGTCGTAGTGTACAATCATTAGATGAAAAACAATTTGTTTCAATGCGTTTTATTGCACTTGAACTTCGTAATCATTATGTAATATTAAATTAATTATTTTCTGTGTTCTTTTGTTCAAATTGATTTTTTTTTTATTATTTTTAGACCAGTGTTCACGATCTTTTGATGAAAAATTTAGAAAAAATCAAAAGACCAAGATCTGTTCAAACACATTCAATGTATTAAAAAAAAATAATAAAAGAATATTCTATGAAGATTTATTTGATATACATCCTATTCATTGTCTAAATGGTTCACTTCTTTTTTTTTTTTGTGGTCTTGTTCTCAATAAATTGTTACCGTTCTTCATTAACATAAACATCTAACCTGGAACTTAAAATTCATTATCTTTATATATCATCTTGTTGAAAATCAATCATATTGTGTAAAATTTAGTTGTGACTTTATATAAATGTCTAATTGGATTCAATATTCAATAACAACAGTATAAGGATGAGTGATTATGATTTCGAATAAAATCTATGTTGTCGATTTTGATTTTTACATCAGAAGAATTTGAAATCAAAAACAGTTTCATGGAAACTGATGCACTTCTTTATTTTATCTTTGAATTATGAACACTATCTGAACCGTTTAATAGCATTCATTATATAGAGATGTTCACTTTAGAAAAATTAATACATAGTTTTGCTGTGAAACGAAAACAATATTTTAGAATATCTGTTCATTCATTAGTCTTAGATAAAAATCTGGTTATTTTATTCCCTTATTCATCTATGTTCATGTAACCGAATAGAATAAAAGATTTTTCCATAAGAAAAAAAAACAATTAAACTTGAAAAAAGTTATTTGATGTTGTTTATCTCTTAGCTTTTGAATTACTATAAACATTAATTAATCCGTATTCTAATTCATATAATTAAAGAATGTTATTTTTGGTTGTTGTTGGGTTACTAATAAATGAAATTTTTGTATCCCTCCTATGGTTGCTGTTGACATAAGATCATCATTATAGCGTCATCATTTTATTCATTAGTATTCGATGTTATAAGGTGTTCACAATCATCAAGCCATTCCTTGAACGCAAATATATCTTTATCTATACGAATAACTCTCATACATAAAATGGAGTTACTCATAGTGCATATGAAACGTGTACTAGACAGTAGAAAGAGATTCAAAAGAAACATTGCAAATGTGTTCATATAAAACAGGTTATAATAACAAGGAGAATCGCAAAAAAGTGTTCACTATTAAAAATAGAGAGGTATTCACATTAGAAAGAAATATTTCCAGAAAAAATTGTTCCATCGAACATGAGATTGTCCCTGATTCAGATATGCATAAAAGACGTTTAATTCAATGTGTCACTCAAGTAATTTATGATTACTTTTTAATGGCACGGTGACCGAGTAAAAGTTGAAATCTATATTGGAGATTCGGATTTCAAATAAAAACACTTTATCCTTCGTACATCAATGTGAATAATATATTTATGATATTTAGTCTTACTTTTAGAAGACGATGTTTAGTTTAGATTGTATCACGATAGAAACTTTAGGAAACGTTTGTGAGAAATTTCGGCAGCTTGTCGAATTTCCACCAGAATTTCTGTATGTTTGTCTGTTTTCCTTCTGGAACATTCACCATAAAAAAAAAGATTGCCGAAATTTCGATTTATCAATGAGTCGCAGCTGAATGAAGCAAGAATTTCGGTGACACTCCATAATTCAGACAGTTTGTTCCATTTTTCGCCAGACTTTCGACAAATTTTTTATTGTCAAAAGTCTGACGGCAATTGGACAAGTTATCAAAACTCAGGTGGCAAAATTCCGGCTTACTTTATGAGGAAAATAATATTGGTAATGACATATCTAGACATAATTCATTCTTTCTTGTTTTTTTTATTCTATACTGTACCAATTCGTCCCATAGTGAATGTTTATTATAAGGATAGTTACAATATTTCTATTAAGCATTGTACATGACTTCATAGATGTGTTTTGATGACGACTGTACGTTTTGCAATATAACAAATCAATAATATTTAAGAGTCAACTGAGAATATGCTTTTTGATTCGGTTACGTTTTTTTTTTGGATTTATTCATTATTTTAAGGCTTTTGACATATGAAACTCTTCGTCATGATATTGAAAATTCAGATAAGTCAAAATTAATAGAATATCTGACCAATTGCAAAAGAAATACAACCAAGTTGAAATATATATTTTTATGTCAACTCATTCTTAACACTCTTTTGCAGTACGTAAAGAGCTGCAACTGATATTAAAACAAATAGTAATTAACGATAGACTAAAATGAAATTAGGTACGTAAACAGTCTTTTTGATTATAACACTTTGGGACCAAGCAGATGTGTTGAAATCAAAGATAAAAGAAAGATTTTCACCTTAGAATGTCACAAAATAAAATATATTTTTGTTTATTTTAATTTCATGTTATAAAAGCTTTTAGTAAATTGATATTTTACTGCATACTTATATCCTCCCACGTCATAGTTCATTACTTTTTTTTTCATATATTTTTTTTACGATATCAAATGTGCTCTAAGAATAGGAAATACATCATTTATTCAAATTACAATGCAGAACAATTTTAAATTTCCGCAGGACAAATTAAAACTTCGACTAGGCTTCATTCTTGATTTTAATTTATTCTAGGAAAATATAAAATTTTCTTGAGTTCTATTTTCTTTTGTAACATTTATGTTTAGTTAGTGTAGTCAAGCGACAGTGAGTAAATAATCATAATTAGTTAAGAATATGAGATTATTTGTGTTGTAGAAAAGCTAATGCACTTAATGCAGACAAACGGTGTGACTATTCTGATACCCGTAATTGCCAATGATCAAGTTTCAATCACGATGACTACGACTTTCAAACATATTGGTTACGGCCATAACTTCTAAAAATATTGGTCACGGTCACATCGACCACTAATCATAAGACACAGTATAATAAAGCATATTATTAAGAAAAATATAATAATGTTCTTTGTAATTACTTTTATATACTGATCTTTCTTCTATATTGTGATTCTCTTCAACCTCATAATTTATGAAGAGAAATAAGTTGAAAAGAAACACTTAAACACAAGAAAAATAATAATTATTTAATCATAAATATTATTCACTTAATATTGATAGATTTCATCATTAGAGCCTTTGTTTTTTTTTTAGCTTCCAAGTTTGATCTTTCATTTAATTGTTTGATACCAATAAATTTACATTATTCAACGTAATGATCTGAAAATATACTGAATCAAAAATTTCCTGTTTTATTCCCAATAGAAATATATTTATGACTGATTTGTTTGAGATTCACCATCGAGAGCTTGTGAATAATGTTAAGTGATGAATTCCTTTAGGGGAAAAACATCGTAAGATGAATCCTAATAAAGCAAATATATCTAGTGGTAGTTTTTAGCTTTTGTTCAAATAAAAAATTTTAGTTTAGAAATAATATAATCCAAAGAATGATCAAAAGTTGGAATCATTTTGATTGAATCTTTTGGAATGTCTCAAAGTCTCCGTTTTTCTAAGTAATCTCTTCATTTTCTTTATATTAGTTAAAGACTGTTGTTCTAGTTTTTACTAATAACATCGTTTTTTCTATATATAAAATCAAGACGTTTGATATTTTCTTTTTCATATTTCTCGAAGTACAATAAAGATGAGTTTAAAACAATCTATTTCTTTATTAATGATCAATTATTATGAACTAAATGTTTATGTTACCTTAATTAGATTTTCTTCAGATGTTAGCTAAGCTTTTCATTTTATCCGATCATGAAAATCATTGTTAGATCTTTTCTTTATCATAACTATAGAAATGCTAAAAATAGAAATTATCTTTTCCTTTCCCTAATTTTTTTGCTTTAAAAGATCTCTTGACATGATTCATTTGAAAACATAAGTTAAGTTATTGTTTAATTACCTTCAGATTTTATTTTTTTGACAGATGCTTATCATGTTCATTTATTGATTTTTATTTATCGTTATTCTTCTTTTTCTTATTTTTTTTTTTTTCGTAAACTATTTCGATTAATTCTTGAAACATTCTAATAGTTCTAACTCGAAATTTTCTTTTTTCTCAATAGAGTTTTGATATTATATGAAGGTTTTAGTTTGACTATTAAATATTCGATTAATTCAGATAAATGAATAAAATAAGATCTGTGATTGTGTTTCAGTACAAAAATCAATAGTAAACTATGAACAAACCAATTCATGTTTTGAATAAACTTGAACTCTCTCGATTTCTTTTTCTTTTCCAAGCATAAATAAAAGAGAAGAATGCTTGTCTATATTGTCTCTATTAATCAAAAGAAAATAGAAGCATACTAATAATAAGCAACGTTCATTTCCATTTTACTTATTTTTCTTATACGCAACTTAGAGTAACAATAATATTCATCACCATGGAATCTCCTCTAGTGATCGCGATTATATTAATTTTAACTTTTGCATCAGTCAATTCAATAGCCATTGATGATTTTCATTGTAAAGTCCCAACATGTCGAGATTTTCATTATGTAAGTTTAAATCTTTCTTTATATCATTCAAAATAGATAGTTTCACCTTTAAAAAATCATAGGGTTTGATAAAACATCCGCAACATAAACATTATGTTGATGTATGTTATGATACTGTATATGCTTTACAAAGTATTCCAGCTAAATACGGTAAATGTATTGATAACAAGACAGGAAAACTACATCCACCTTGTATTTGTAAGTTTGTTTTTTTTTCTATGAATATTTACTTATGCAGTTCAATTTTTATAGATGCTTTGGCTAATACAATAAAAGGTTGTATTAATGAATTGAAGGAATTACCTGAAAACATAGCTAAATTTTATTGTGGATATACACTTATGAAATATTGTGCAGTACATGTTGGCCTTGATCACATTCCGCTTAAATTAGATTATAAGATATAGACAACTGTTATTTTACATCAACAATATGGAATAATAAAAAATTCGTTTTTATACAATAAAGATTTTATATCTTGTTCATAAATGATTAGTGTAACAAAGAAAACGAAATAAATCTCTCGCAATGGCTACATGTACATTGATTGTTCATTATATTTAGAAAAATATATATAGCTTTTGTATATTAGACAACTACCATCGAAATGAATGAGACAAAAAATTATATAGACTTATCAGTTTGATGATCTTCATTAATATGAAAATGCTTGTCATTAAAAAAGGAAATAATGTTGATGAGTTGGAAAAAGGAAATCATGTTGATGAGTTGGAAGAAGGGTGGGTGTTAGTTAATTGATGGTGTCTTGTATGTCTCTTTGAAAAGGAAGTATGCAGTTAATATAAAAGAAAAGAGAATAGTTTAGAAAATAATCAAGATGTTCGACCTTTTGAAAACTTGTCAGAATCGGAAATAATATAAAATATTGGCAAATAATACAGCTGAAGTAGTAGTGCAACTACTAATAGGTTCAAGCACGTGTTTTTCAGATAAACGCGATCAATGCATAGGAATCACACGTTTATTTCTAGTGCTGTCGACATGACATTACTTCTTGAAAAAGTAGGGAGCATAGTTCAATTTTATGTCTTTTTGTACTTTGCTTGTTGAGTCTATCTGAAATGTCAATATTTGCCAAAAGATATGTAAACTGATCAAGCAAGATTCATGGATAGATGTTAATTAAAATGGGCTGCCTTTTCAATAATAAAACAACAGATTTTATTAATTAAAAAAAAGCACGTAGGCCATACAGAAGTTAAATCACACAGTTCTTTGTATTGGAATTTATTGTTAACAGAATATGTCTTTGAGAGAAGAATTGACATCAACATCAGTCTTATAGATATTTGCATATATTGCATTGAATTTCTGTATATTATAAATATAAAGAATATTTGAAATTTTATTACAAGTTGAAAATTGAAGAATACCAAGAATGATATGCTTGCCGATAATAGCAAGTAAAAATATTTGTTTTAATACTTAACACTGGCACTAATGCGAGAAAGTACAAGTCAAATAGTACGTTCCTATGGTACTCTTAGGTCATGTGAAAGGAATCACAGCTTTTTGTTGAAAAACTCAGGAAAATTTCGATATCTCAGGAACTAAAGTTTTCTCTTGAGTTTTTGTACAAAAATGCTCCATAGAATTGAAATCAGTTGGTAATCATACAATTCATATGTTCAACATGTAGAATAGATGATTTCTTTCGAAAAATATTTACTGATCTCTTTTCTTTAAAACTGTTTATGTTTGCTATTTGGAAAATCTAAAAAAAGAGCGAAATAATCTTCATTTGTGAACTTGATGTATTGATTGTATGGATATTTTATTTAATTAGAGACTTGAACTATCATATTTGTTTTTGAAGAAGTGATATAACTAGTTTCTTATCGTAACATTGATACATGCGCAATACCAAATGATTTATTTGGTGTTCTGATAAAGATAAATACACGTTTTAATAATAAATTCAAAAAGATGAACATTTCATTTTCTAGTTCTGTGATTTTGGATAGATTGCCGTAGGGGCAAATATATGGGAGCGGCACTAGAAATGATTGAGGCTCTATTTCAAATATTTGTTTGTCTCTTTGCAGTAAAAATAAACAAAAACCAAGTTTATACATTCTACGATAGACTTGGAAAAGCTGTTTTTTTCATTATAACTGCCTTCTTGTCCGACAAAACGTTCCCTTTTACAGAAGTTCTAGATCTGCCACTGGACTGACGAGTTCAAGCAACACTTTACCCTGTTAACTTTCTTTGTGACCAGATCAAATTCGCAGGAATCATTAGTTCTAAGACAATCTCTTCGTTACACGATCTCTGGCCAAGAATATATTATGAAACAAGCTTTTTAGGTTTATTTTGAGATTTATTCATGTTATCATAAAACTAAATGTTTAGTTGCAATGCATTATTTTTTTTAAATTACTATAAACTTCATATTTTCGTTCATATAATTTCTATTATCAATATAAAGTTCATCGAATTATAGTATCTGGTGGCTCGTTATCAATCAGAAAACAAGTTCTGCGATGCTTGAAATTATATAAAAAAGAACGTACTATTTCACAAGAATTGGAAACTGTATTTTTATCATTATCTATAAGTAATCGTATCAGATGAGTCAAAATACTTACCATATCGAACAAAATATACAGTGTTACAATTATTTTGATTCATTCTATGATAGAATACCATCGTTATTTATTTCAATCATGAACGAGTTATCTTGTACTACTTAGTTAGGTAATACTTTTATTTTTGAGTTTAAAAACTTGCTAATCGTTTATAATACTAAAATTTAGACATTATCTTGTGAAATATCTTTAAGCATTATGGATTTTTTCTCTCTTAGGTGGACAAATATTACAGAAATAATACCTATTAATAAATGTATATTACATCAAATATTTCAATATCAACCATATATCTGATTTCAATCATATTCTAGATCAAAACAGATCAACATAGTCTTGAAATTGATTGTTTGTAAAGAACCAAACCGCTGAGTTCGTTTGAAGCATTTTTTTTTTGATCTTCTTATATATGATTCAAAAGATCCAGTAGTCTTTTGAAAACTCTTATAAGCTTTGAATTCACTATACTGATCATTATGATTATGTGCATATGTGTTTCAAGATTATATTACTTATAAAATCTTTAATATGGCTTCATCAATTGTATTGATAACAAGATGATGATTTACTCATCTTTTGTTGGTAAATGAATTCTTAATATTATAGCTTCTATTTATAAGAATATTATAAATCATAATTTTATTGCATTTAGTTTCTTAGCAAAGATGACAATTATTGAAAATAGATCCATGGCTTAATTGAGCAATATATATTTGAAATTGAGATTTACTATTGTTATGGTCATACTTTTAAGAAAGATTGTTTCATTCTTATTGGATGTTTTTATATTCTACATGACTTTATGAAAATACTGAATAATTATAGATGAACATGCAACATCAAACAATCTATTTGTTACTGTTGTGATAAAGTTTGATGGTTCATTATGCACTTTTATGATTTTTTTCTTTTATTAATAATTCTTTCATTATCATATAAACAAAAAAGAATAGATATATAACATGAATGTATGCAGCATGTTTTCATAGCGTTTGTAGTCAACATACTTTGCTTATAATTAATAGCAAAACCATCATCTTCATCATTTGTTTTTATCATTGCCAGTTTTGCTGAACGTGTTGTATGCTCATGATGATGTATAATTATTCATTTCTATGTCCATTAAAAAACGTGCTTTTTTCAAAGATTGAATTCATTGTAAAACACATGAATATGTTCATGTGGAGAATTAGAGCGTCGAGAAATATCATTCATTGGTAGGAGTAATGGCAAGATCACCAAAAGAAAACAGCGTCTTTGTTGATCTATTCATTGTACATTTGAACAAGAGATTCCAAGCAAAAATCTAACTTAGTCAAGAAAAATTCTTAAAAATATTTTACTTTGTATTTCCTGACATTCATGTATATACACTTTACATCATTTTCTACTCGTGATTTCTGATACTGAAATCTAAAACTTTTTTCTAAAATATCTTCAATCTTCACCCTTTGCATATACATCATTACAAATATGAGATAATGCTTCAGTGTGAATGAAATGATTTGTGACTCTGTTTTTTATATATTTCAAAGCCAATATTCTGTTTAAAACTGATCAATGTATATGTAGACAGGCAGATTACATTGCATGGGATTCGGCAATTGCAATGATTTCTCTGAAATCACGCGCAATGATATTTATGTTGTCAAACCTGTGAGTAAGAAATTTTCTGAAACAGAGAATTTCTCTTTAAAATATGAGCTCAGCAAAAATCTTTCATGTTTATCATTCGTCAATTTTCTATAGTTTCTTCCAAATATTCTTCTGAGCAATCACATGCCAATCACTGGTTTCGAAAACGAATAATGACGGAAGAAGGGAAAAATTCATCATCAGGGTCCCCATAGCAACGACCAAATATAATTGTCGTATCCTCGCCTGGATAAATAGATTGTCAATTCTCATTTTTTCTTTAGAAAATTCTGTGTACATTAGAGCAACAATCTCGAATAAACGTCTGGTTGAAAGTGATCAAAATGAAGTGATGAATACATTTATTCGAGATCAAGTTTTCGCTCCATATCCATCAACGACACATAATTTATTTTCGAAATGTCACTTTGCAAAAGAAACGATGATAAAATCTGAGAAATCGTTGATGATCACAGTCACTGTACAGATCCGACTAAAGCCCATATGACGTCGATCATCTACATGAATAAACAAAATCTTTTCTTCATTGAATCCACTCTATGCGTAACGCGAATTAGTCTGCTAACACAACATTTCAGTTTTCAATAACCATGGAAGGATCAACGAAACACAAGCGTTTTCACTAAGCTCCACGAATAGATAACTCTTACTTCCAAATGGTCGATCTTTTCTATAAAACTATCTTTCAGATAAGTCGAATCTAAGACCGTTAATGAGAAAGATCAATTTTCCAAAACGTAAATCCGTTTTTTTCGACGAGTAGCTGAAAAATCTTACCACAGAACAATTTGACTTGTAGTCTAGACTCACTTTGTCAATGCCATGATCTAACAACTATAACAAAACCTATTCCAAAACATTTTTCTTGTCCCATAAACTATCCACAGATTATTCACCACAATGTACGCATTGATAATCTTTGAAAGGAATATTGCCTTTAAGATCTGCAAAAGCAACAATCACAAATCCTATCATTCATACCGGATCATATCTCTATTCTTATAATTTTCGTTATTTAAAATAACCCGTGAATTGTTCACATTTTACAATCCAGTTCTGATTCATGTTACAAAACATAATACATACGGTGTTTGTTTTCTCTTTCTACTCAACAAACAATTTTTAGGAGCAACACTAACTCGGTCTTACAGTATAGAAATTCATTTGTTTAAATCATCGAAACAATCAAAATGAAAAGAAAAGATTGAAAATAAAACTTTTGAATTGTATTGGAGTATACAGTCTTGTATTCAAGGATGATTATTGTTGTGAATACAATAGAACTGAATTTATGTTGATTATCTCTGTGAATAAAAATACTTTTCAGAATGTTGAACATCATATTTGACTTGTAAACTACACGAAGATTGTTTTTGTTCGATTATCATGCAAATAAAAACAGGTTCGAATCGAATCGATACGTTAAATAAAAGTTCGATTTCTCTTCCATTTCGTAAATTTTTATTTCCGTACAATATGTGAAAAGTTTCATTGAAGACTCCTAGTTTGAAAACGAATTTCAAGATTAGATATGAAAAGTTTTCGAAGACTAACGAAGATAATTTCACTACTTGCCATTTGATAATGGTTGATGTAGTTCTTTACTTTTCTGAAATGCATATGAAAAGCAAATCATCAACCGCTACAAAATATAGAACAACATCTGACTGATGACTATGAAAAAAAAAATGAAAAGTGCATTTTATATTAATCGGTGTGTATTGAGAATAAAAATATGAATCATTAATGAACAAACGATCGTCTATTAATCAACAATATTAATGATCATTAGGCTGATCAGACCAAATCGTATATAAGGAGTGCATACTACTATGAGTAGACATAGTCTGACGAAGAAACATTCGAAACACGTTGCTAACGTTATTCTATTGTTTATTTCTTATCCAAAGAAAATATCTTAATATGTATTCTATTGATTACGTGATTTCATCCTCAATCTATTTCTTTCGTTGATTCATCCAAATCGTTTTTGATCAAAAAAATTTTTTTTTTCATTAGCCTTCTTCCTTAATACATCTCCATATATTTTTTGACAACAATCGATTCGAATCTAAAAAGAAGAAGTTAGATCAAATAAACAGTTCAAATTTTACCAATTCCTAATTGACAAATCGAATCGATTCATATCAAATAATTATTATCAGATTACCTAGCTAATTCTACTTGACAGTTCGAAAACTAAAGAATTTTTCTATTCGATGTAGTTTGGGTGTTACAATGGTAGTTTTCTCTAATTATAAGTTTCAATTTTTTAAAATAAATTTTGCATGAGAGCAAGATGAAATAGGATCTTTGCAGCCCTTTCTAATTTGCATTAACTCCGACTCCGAAAAATTTCTTTTATTGGCTCCAACTCCGACTCCAGTGGAGTTGGAGTCGATTTTCGGAGTCCGGTGCAGGCCTCTAGTCTAGTGGGAGTTTGACGTTTCATCGCTACTTTTCATTCCGAACATCCGATGTCGAAGTCCGTTCAAAACATCCGTTTTCTTCAAAAAATCGTCATTTTTATGATAAAATATCGGATGTTCGGAATTAGAAAAATACGGATATTCGGAACGATCATCGAAAAATAAACGGATGTTCGTAAAATTTTTTAACGGATGTTCGGAACGGCAACGACACGCACATTTCTGTTGAAGAACTGGATAATTTTAACGGATGTTTGTAAAAAAAAATTACTGGATGTTCGGAACAACAACAAACGGATGCTCGTAGGGTGTGGGTGCGGGTGTGGGCGTGGGTGTGCTGAGAAGATT